AACTGGTGGTACCACAATAGCTAAACTATATTGTTAAGTCGTCAGTACTTGTAGGTTTTTGAGGTGGTCCGTGTTGGGTTGGTTCTTGACATTGTAAATTTGGACCGAGCTTATGAGAACGCTGAGAGCGAAGAGGGATGCGGATTGAGTACCGGAGGTTGTGTGATCGGCGGTACCTTGAGTGTCCATTAGAATGATGGCGATCTAAAACATACTTTTGATTGCGGAAAACTGATTATAGCAGAATTTTACTTCTTCGTTTGATTCGGTTTCCGTTAGGAAGATTTCTGGCCACATAAGAATTCCTTCTGTGATTCCTTCTATAGTGGACTTCCACGAGAATCCAAGAAATAGCTTGTCGTGTGAATCTATCCACTTTTCTATTTTTTGGGTCTAAAGAATTATTTTTTAGAAAATCGGAATATTGGAAGAACGAGAAGACGGTGCAAAACAATGAAGGAAATGGGATAAAGGAGATGTTAAAATAAAAGGAGTTGGGAGTGGATTGACGAAAAACAAATATAACGCCAAAAAATGCTAAAAAATGGATCCAAAAAACACGTCGAAAAAAGCGACTAAAAAAAGTAAGAAAAACACGCCGAAAAAAGCGACTAAAAAAAGTAAGAAAACTAAACGATAGAAAATATCACAAAAAAGACAATGTTATAAAATTAGTCTAAAGAGTTTAGACAGTACTTCCCTCGCTGTCGGAAACGTGACGACTGCATGCCTATTATGTTTTTTTTCGCAGTGGATTTCAAAGAATTCGGTTTTATAGTTCCCAATTAACTCAATAAAATAAATTCACGCATTCATTAATTTTTTGAGTCACTCTGTATATGCAAATCGAAAAAATTTTAATGGAATGATAAATCACAAGAAGAGACTCACCATATTTTGTACATTTTATATAGGATTTATTCAGCAAAATTTTGTGGTGACGTCATAAATTTTTTAGAGGGGACGACCAAATACATTTTGATCAAAAATTTACCATGCTTATGATAATTTTAAAACATCTTCAAGATTTCAAAGCATTCGGTTTTGTAGTTCCTGAGTAAATCAGTAAAATAAATTTACGCATTCATTAATTTTTTTGAGTCACCCTGTATATGCAAATCCAAAAAATATGAATGGAGTGATAGATCACAAGTACAGACTCATCATATTTTGTACATTTTAGATATGATTTATTCGGCAAACTTTTGAGCTGACGTCATCAAGTTTTTGGAGGGGATAACCAAATATATTTTGACTAAAGATTTATGATGCTCTTTATAGCCTTAAAATATCTGCAACATTTCAAAGCATTCGGGTTAGCAGATTCAAAATTAAATTCCAAAATGTTTTTTTACAATTTTGATTTTTTTTCCAAAAATCTGGACGTTTCGGATGAAAACTCAATTCGGAGTTGTAAACTACATGTGTAGGACTATGTTCTTTTATACAATTTAAAACCCATTTACTATGTACAATTTTGAAGTGATATCATCGCATTAGTGGTGGGGATGACTAGACAAATTTTGGTTAGCGTTTTACCATCGACATGATATTCCTAATGTAAGTACAACATTTCACAACAATCGGTCCAGTACTTTCGGAGATTATCTCTCTAAGAAAAATCCGTGACGGCAGACAGACGGACAGACGGACGGACAAACGGACAGACAGGCAGACGGACAGACAGACGGAAATGGGAGACCTATTTCTTCGTCTTCTAGGGGTCATGAAAGATCGAAAAAACGTAAAAGTAGAGAGTCGGCCGATGGACTCGATTACAATACTTCCTTTGCTTACGCTCGGGAAGTAAAAAGATACCAAAAAAAATTTTTTAAATTGGTCTAAAGAGTTTAGACAGTACTTCCCTCGCTGTCGAAAACGTGAAGACTGCACGCCTATTTATCCTTTTTTTCGCATTAGATTTCAAAGCATTCGGTTTTGTTGTTCTTGATTAAATCAATAAAATAAATTTGCTCATTCATTAAATTTTTTTGAGTCACCCTGTATATCCAAATCCAAAAAATATGAATGGAATAATAATTTACAAGTACAGACTCATCATATTTTGTACATTTTAGATAGGATTTATTCAGGAAAATTTTGGGGTGACGTCATCAATTTTTTGGAGGGGATAACTAAGTAGATTATGATTAAAATTTTATCATGCTTATCATAACTGTAAACCATCTGCAAGATTTCAAAGCATTGGGTTTTGTAGATTCCAAATTAAATGTCAAAATGTTGTTTCGTAATTTTGATTTTTTTTCCAAAAATCTGGACGTTTCGAGTAAAATCTCAATGTGGAGTCATAAACTAGATGTGTAAGACTATGCTATTTGATGCAATTTAAAACTCAATTACTATGTACAATTTTGAAGTGACGCATGAATCATATTAGTGGTGGGGATGATTAGACAAATTTTGGTTAGCGTTTTACCATCGACATGATATACCTAATATAAATACAAAATTTGACAACAATCGGCCCAGTGCTTTCGGAGATTATCTAACTAATAAAAATCCGGGACGGCAGACAGACGGACAGAGGACAGATAGACGGAAACGGGAGACTTATTTCTTCCTCTTATAGGGGTCATGAAAGATCGAGAAAATGTAAAAGTAGAGAGTTGGCCGACGAACTCAATTACAATACTTCCTTTGCTTACGCTCGGGAAGTAAAAATCACAATGAATAACAAAAAAAGTAACAAAAAATTCTACAACACACAAACAAAGCCAAAAAATTCGAAAGAAAAGAGTCCAAAATGATACCACTAAAAAAAGGAAAAAAAACACAAAAACTACAAAAAAAAGTTAAAAGAGGCGACAACAGAGGGCCATTAAAAAGAGGTCAAAAAATAGATAGATAGATCTTTATTGGGGACAATAACTGACCAAGAAAAGCGAAAATGCGCTACAAAAAACGCAAAGAAAACAGCAAAAGAGGAGAAAACAACATAAAAAAATATGACAAAAATTGACAAAAAAAAGGTGAAAACATAAACTTCAAAAAAAATCGAAAGAAAAAAGAAACAAAAAGCACAAAGCGACAAAAAAAGGGAAAGAAAAAAGGTCGAAAAGACAAGACTAAAAAAAGTCAGAATGCACAAAAAACGAAGAAAAGCTATTAAAAAGAACAACAAACAGCCAAAAAAACAGACGAAGAAAAAGGAAAAGAAAACGCGTCAAAAAAACGACAAAAAAGCAAAGACAGAAGAAAAAACGACAAAAACATAGGACAAAAAAATAAAAAAAAATAATAGAAAAGATAAAAAGAGGTGACCTATTAAAAACAGGTCAAAAATGGGGAAAAAGACGAAAAAAGATGGAAAAAGGTCCAAAAAAACTAAAACTAGAAAAATCACAATAACTGACAAAGAAAACACAAATAAAGCACCAAAAGGGGATAAAAGGGATAAAAAATGCGTTGAAAAATCTTAACAAAAATATTATACAAAAAAAAGCAAAGCAAAAAAACGAAAATGAAAGATGAGAAATAAGATTACCTTTTTTTTAAGAAAATGTAGAAAAAAATTCAGAACAAAAGATTTCCCTTGCCTGAAAATCCCAGCCACTGAGATAACACACACTTTCCGGTCTTTCAAAACGCTGTTCTTCAACACATTTTCGACTTCATCCGTAAACAAAATTATCTTGTTTTCTTCAGCCAGCTTAAATATTTGCAAAGGACGCATTCCTAAGCCTTATGTAAATAACTCAGAGGGAAAAAAATAATTTGGGAGCTAGTTCAGCAGTGACATGGAAACACAATTGGCAAACTTTGGAACGAGATTAACCATAGATTAACTGATAGTCTGTGCGTTTTCAGATAAGCACACCTGTAAACTTGAGAAAACGTAAAAGTAGAGAGTCGGCCGACGGACTCGATTACAATACTTCCTTTGCTTACGCTCAGGAAGTAAAAATATACAAAAAATACCAAACAAGCCAACAAAAAAAAAGGAGAATAAAAACGGCAGATAAAATTGAACACAAATTACAAAAAAAAAAACACTAAAAAAACACGGAGTAAAAACCAACAAAGGAAAGACCAGCAACTATAAAAAAACAATAAAAAAAATCGAAAACAAAAGTAGAAAAGAAGGTGGAAACGAAAAAACACTGCAATTAGGCGTGAAGAAAAGCGAAAAATTGCGACTAAACAAGGGCAGTAAAAAACACAAGAAATTACCAAAAAACTTCACAAAAAATTGAAATACAAAAAGACAAATAAAATGCCACAAAAGCGCTATAAAGGAATGCGAAAAAATATATACAAATACGCTTAGAAACCACAAATTTTGTGCATTTTAGACAAAAGTTATTCAGCAAAATATGAGATAACGTCATCAAGTTTTTGATAAACAAACAAATTTTGATTGGGTATTTATCATCTTACTATAACCTTAAAACATTTGCCAGATTTAAGCGCAGTCGATTTTAGAGTTTCTAAGATACTTTATAATATGTTGTATAATTTTCTTTGCAAACATCTAGACGTCAATCAGTCCAGTAGTTTCCGAGAATATCGGTTTAATAGAATCACCAACAGACAGACGGTAGACACACAGACGGAAACGCGGATCCACTTTTTATGTATATTGTAGGGATCATGAAACGTCGAGAAACATGAAGGTATCCATTCATCGCATGAACGCTATCGCAATATTTTTCCAGCTTAAGTAAAAATTAACATAATAAAGAAAAATATTAATTTTCTTATAGCTAGTTAGCAGCATGTTATCTTGAGAAAACAACAAATATTGTCATTTCCGAGAAAAAAATTTGGATAAAAATTGTCAAATATTGTTATTCTTATCTTGGTAAATAATAGAACTGATTTTTATAAACGAAGTATTCCATGAACAATTTTTTATCATTGGCTCAATTTCTTTTATCAGGTTTTATACACATACCTTTAAATTATCTTTAAATAAATTTCCCCATGATGTTTCAAATGTCCTTGAAAACAGCTTTCCAAAAGAAAAAAACCAGCTGGCGTCTTTATTGAATTCAATTTATTTACAAAATTTTATAAAAAACATTTTCGAAAATTTCATATATCTTAGAATTTAAAAAAAGTAACACAGACTGCTACAATTGCAACAAACACAACCACTACCACAGACTTAACAAATTCCCTACCAAAATTAAGACTTCTACCCCCTTCTCCACTTTCTTCTGTATGTTTTGCCTCACTTCCCACCTCACACTTTTCCGTAACACCCCCATTAACCTCAACCTCCTCACTCTCCTGACCCCTTTCTTCACCCTCCATCACTACAACCCCATCTCCATCCGAGCACCCTCCTACAATCGAAACCCCATCCTCCACTCTACCCCTAAAAAATTTTCCAAAACTCGTACTCACCGCCCCCCGACCAGCCTCCCAAACTCTCCTAACGTTCTCCGAAGCATGAGAAACTATTTTCTTCGTTTTCGGAGAATTCTTTACCCCGATCACACACTTCCCCAGACCCCACGTGACCAAACCCACCCCGGCCCCAACAACCAGACCAACCCCCAAACCGGCAATGCTGCCCGCAATCGCCGCCTCCAACACAGCGCCGGCGGTTGTCGCCTCCACGGCGGTGATCACAGTGGTCACTTCGACAGCAGCCACACCAATGGTACTACCACCAGTGGTGTACGAAAACACTTTCTTGCAGAAACTGCGAAGACCTTGTTCTTCAAACCTAGGTCTGTGTTTTTCGAAAACGCCATTGAGTGTCTGGAAGAAATTATTATTATTGTTAACACAAAAGTGGGAGTTTTACTTGTTTTAGACGCTCCTTGCAACGCCGGATCATCTTCTTGGTACCCATTTTTGACACCTTGGTTTCAAAATTTTGCAAAATTTTCATTTTTTCTTCATCTGCTTTCAAAAAAGAGTCACACTGTTCGACTTGCTTGGAAAATTCGTCCACAGCTTGGTTTAAACACTCTTGGTGGTAAGCTTCAGCAGTTGCCTAGAATTACAAGTGAAAAATGGTACCTGAGTACTAAAATCGTCGTACCGCATAGATCGTTTTGACATTCAGTTGCTTCCCTTCTTTGAAGTGGTTGCCGTACATTTTTATGAGTTCGAGCAACCCCTGGACGGTGACGAACTCGCCGTTGATCTTCTTCGGTACTACATTCTCCGGTGCTAAAATAGTTTCGACGAACGTTTCGACACAACCGAGAAACTCATCATCAACACCTACCGAAAAAAACACACACAATCAGACGTTAAATGTAACGATGGTATACTGACAGTCAAAATTTCCGTCAAAATTTGGATTCGTCGCCACTTCTTTGCCCGGATGTGGCATCAAAAAACACCCAACTTGCTCAAAATTCTCCTCTATGGTTTCCTGTATGGTGGTCAACTCCTCCTGCTGCGACTCTCTATGTTTTCGGAAAACTGCCTCCAATAACATTTTTCCACCTTCGAAACCATAGTCGTACTCGAACGGGTACTCCCAGTCTCTGACCAAAATCACCAGCTTTTGGAACGGTTTTTCGGGCGAGTTTTCGCAGTAAGTGCCTCCGTAGCCCGTGAAAACCTACGAAAACTGGTGGTACCACAGTACGCTAAAGTATATTGTAAGTACTTGTAGGTTTTTGAGGTGGTCTGTGTTGAGGTGGTTCTTGACGTTGTAAATTTGGACCGAGCTTATGAGAACGCTGAGAGCGAAGAGGGATGCGGATTGAGTACCGGAGGTTGTGTGGTCGGCGGTACCTTGAGTGTCCATCAGAATGATGGCGATCTAAAACATACTCTTGGTTGCGAAAAACTGATAATAGCAGAATTTTACTTCTTCGTTTGATTCGGTTTCCGTGAGGAAGATTTCTGGCCACATGAGAATGCCTTCTGTGATTCCTTCTGTGGTGGACTTCCACGAGAATCCAAGAAATAGCTTGTCGTCTGGATCTACCCATTTTTCTATTTTCTGGATCTAGAAAATTATTTGTTAGAAAATCGGAATATTGGAAGAACGAGAAGGTTGACAAAATAATGATTTGCTGATGCAAAAGAATGAAGAAATTGGGTTAAAGGAAACACCAAAAACACGTCAAAACAAAGCGACTAAAAAAATACGAAAAAAAAAAAAGGCGAAAAAACGAACAATGGTGAAAAAAGCGTCAAAGAAAAACGGGAAAAGCCACAACAAAACTACAAAAAAATGAATCAAAAATACGACAAAAAAGGAGAACAAAAGGCGAAAGAAGGTATTAAAAAAACCTATAAAAAAGTTAGAGAAAGTGAAAAAAAGGTGAGAAGAAGCGACAACAAAGAATGATAAAAAGGGGGTCAGAAAAAAATTAAAAAAAAAAACAAAAAATATAAAAAAAAGACAAAATCTGACCAATAAGACAATAAAAAACGATAAAATTGGGTAAAAAAGACGAAATATGAGGAAAAATGGGTCAAAAAAACGAGAAATCATGGCAAAACGATAAAAATGCTACAAAAAAGAGGCCAAAAAAGCGCTTAAAAAAAAAACGAAACAAAAAAGGATGAAAAGAGGTGAAGAGAAGGCGAAAAAAGATGCCAAAAAAACTAGAAAAATCACAAAAAATAACAACAACAAAAAAATGAGAAAAAAAACACCACAAAAAAAGAACGAAAGAACAAAAGGCTAGAAAAATGCTACAAAAAAAAGAAGACAAAGAAAACCACAAAAAATGAAAAAAAAAACGACAAAAACAGGTGAAGGTCACGAAAACAAAGGGCGATAAAAATGGGGTCAGAAAAAAGATGAATTAGGTCAATAAAAAATGAAAAGAAAAGATACCGAAAAAATGAGAAAAAAGTCATAATATGTAATAAAAAGTAACAAAAAATTCTACAACAAAAAAAAAACACAAATAAAACGACAAAAAAATGCGAAAGAAAAGGGGCCAAAAAGATGCGACTAAAAAAGGGGAAATAAAGGAAAGTCAAAATATGCAAAAAAACAAAGAAAAGCTATTAAAAAGGACAACAATCATTCAGAAACGACAAAAAAGGCGAAGAAAAAGGACCAAAAAACGCGCCAAAAAACGACACAAAAACAAAATAAAAAGAAGAAAAAAGCGACAACAAAGTACCATTAAAAAGACGACAAAGAAAACACGAAAAGTGAAAAAAAGAAACAAAAAAACGACAAAAAAAAAAGAGGTGAAAGGACACGAATACAAAGGGCGATAAAAATGAGGTCAGAAAAAAGATGTAATAGGCGAATAAAAAATTAAAAAAAGATACCGAAAAAAATGACAAAAAAATTCTACAACAAAAACACAAACAAAGCGACAAAAAGATGCGACTAAAAAAAACTCAGAAAATGCAAAAAACAAAAAAAAAAAATACACCAGCCAAAAAATGGGGAAAAAGACGAAAAAAGGTGGGAAAAAGATGCAAAAAAACTAAAACTAGAAAAGTCAGCAATAAATATGCTACAAAAAAAAATACAAAGGAAGCGCCAAAAGAGAGGAAAATAACAAAAAAAAATGGCACAAAAGAATAATATAAAAAAAGGTCAAAACAAAAACTTGAAAAAAAATCGAAAGAAATAAGAACCAAAAACCAAAACTACGTGACAAAAAAGGAGAAAAAATGCTACAAAAATTGATCAAACAAAGGGCGAACGAAAAGGGGTCAAGAATGTGACCAAAAAAAAGAAGAAAAACAGCTGAGAAAATGTAAAAAAAACGATAAAAAAGCTATTAAAAAGGAACAAAAACAGCCAAAAAACACAACAAAAAAGTACAAAAAACATGAGGAAAAAATGCGACAAAAAACAAGACAAAAAAATACTATATTATAAGGCGATAAAAAAGGTGAACAAAAACACACAAAAAATTAAAACACAACAAAAAACAGTCAAAAAAGAGACGACAAAAAAGACGAAAAATGCGACAAAAAAATGAAAAGGCGAAGAAAATAGACCAAAACATGTCAAAACGACAAAAAAAAAGAAAAAGTCGCCAAAAAGAGGGAAAATAAGATAAAAAAATGCGATAAAAAAATTACAAAAAAGGTTAAAACAAAACTTCAAAAAAAAGCGAAAGAAAAGGGAATACAAACCACAAACAAAGCAGTAAAAAGGAGAAAAAAAGGCTACAAAAAACATGCAACAAAAATTTATCAAAGAAAAGGGAAATACAAAAAGGTCATAAAATGTAAACCACCTATTAAAAAAAAACAGCCAAAAAAGAAACAATAAAAGAAAAAAAGAAAAAACCACAAAAAATATGAAAATAAAAGATATAAAAAAGAGGAAAGAAAAGGGACCAAAAACAACACAAAAAAATGTATCAAAAAAAAGGTGAAAGAAAACGGACTGAATAAACCTGCACAAAACAAAATAAAAGATAAAGAAAAAAATAAAAGAAGGGACTAAAAAAGGCAACAAAAAACACAAAAACTGATAAAAACAACACAATGAGACGAAAAAGAAGCAACCAAAAAAGGCGAAAGAAGCGACAACAAAAGGTGATAATAATGAAGGAGTGAAAAAATGGCGAAAAAACACTAAAGAAAGTACCAAAAAAGGAGAAAAATGGTGACAAAAATTTGGTAAAAAAAAAGTGAAAAAAAACTTCAGAAAAGACTAAAGAAAAGAAACAAAAAACAGGCTAAAAGTACGTAAAAATAGTGAAAAACTGTGCCAAGTGACAAAAAGGCCATAAAAAAGCGGCCAAAAACACGATTCAAAAAATGTCGACAAAGATGACAAAAAAGACACAAAAAAGAGGCAACAAAAAGACAATAATACCCATAGTACTTTGTACATTTTAGATGGGATTTACCCACCAAACTTATGATTACGTCATCGACCTTTTGTCAGAAACTAAAATTGTCACGAATATAATTTAAAAAAAATGTGAATAAGCGAAAGCTAAAAGAAAATGCAAAAAATTATACAAAAAAAGCAAAGCAAAAAACGAACATGAACACGAAATAAGGTTACCTTTTTTTTAAGAAAATGTAGAAAAAAATTCAGCGCAAAAGATTTCCCTTGCCTGAAAATCCCAGCTACTGAGATAACACACACTTTCCGGTTTTTCAAAACGCTGTTCTTCAACGCATTTTCGACTTCATCCGTAAACAAAACTATCTTGTTTTCTTCAGCCAGCTTAAATATTTGCAGAGGACTCATTTCTGAGCCTTATGCAAATAACTCATAGAGAAAAAAATAATTTGGGAGCTAATTCAGCAGTGACATGGAACACAGTTGGCAAACACTGATACCGCGAAATTATCAATGAATATAACATCCAAGCGAACACAGCCAGTTGAGTTCAAGGTTTCTTCGTGATTCGGGTTTATTTTTATTTGTTGTGTGTGACTCATACCGGCTGCAACAAATGCTACTACCAACTTGATAAAGATTTCTATCACCAAACAAAAATCACACAATATGCCAAAAACATCTATGGCCAAAATAGCCACCAGAAGTTTCTTCAGAATCATTTTTAACAACAAACTTACTTGTCTTATTTTTCAAACTCTCGTTCACTCCAATGGAAATCCCGACTATAAATAGTCCCCATTAACGCGACTGAATAAACGGAAACCACAACCTCTAACCCAAAAAACCCAAAGATAACTTTATCTCCACCGTTGCAACACCACACCAAACCGTTTTTTCGCCATGGAACATCCACACCCTCTGCAACTTTTCGAAGCCGACCAAAACAACAAAATAATTTTAAACCCAGACGTCCTAAAAATCCTCAAAAGCGCCAACATCAAAAACAAGAAAGTGTGCGTCTACTCAATCGCTGGGGCCTTCAGAGAAGGAAAATCCTTCCTTTTGAACTTTCTCGTCCACTATTTTAAGGTAAGTACTACCCACTTACCACAGTCATAGTACCCACAGTTTCCAGAACGAAAATGAAGAAAACTGGCTACAAACGAAGAAAACTCTGACCAAAGCTTTCCCTTTTAGACCGGGTTTTGAGCGCGAAACCGTCGGGGTACTCATGTGGTCTGAAATTTTCACCACCAAGCGCGCCAACGGCGACGAGGTACCACTCACTTAAGGGTATTCAAACCTTCAAGGTTTGTTTTCAGGTTGCTGTGATTATTTTAGACACTCAGGGTACTTTTGACCACAAAACGGCTTCAGCGGAGTACACTGCGTTTTTCGCCTTAAGCGTACTGGTGAGTTCCGTGCAGATGTATAACCTCAAGGACGAAATCAACATGGATCACCTGAAAGCTCTACAGGTACTAAAAATGTTGAAGTTGTGGTACCACAAAAAGTTTAGCTGTTTTCAGGGTACGGCAAAATGTTCACGAACAGTTCAAGCGAACAACCCTTCCAGAAACTAGTGTTCGTGGTTAGAGACTGGAAGTACGACCACGAGTACCCATTAGGGGCTGAAGGTGGAACGAAGTACCTCGAAACGGTGTTCAAAAAACAGAAACTGTCAAACAAAGAAGAGTTGCTTGAAATACAACAAAGCATTGAAGAGAATTTTGAAGAAGTGAAGTGCTTTGTGCTACCGCACCCCGGAAAAGCAGTCACCGGTGTAGATTTTCAAGGACACTTCAAAGGTAAAATATAACCCACTTGAGTCACTACTAAAGTCCCTTTTTAGATGTTAGTAAAGATTTTCTAAAACACGCTCAAGACTTAGTGGAAACTCTTGTATCCCCACAAAATTTGGTGGTGAAGAATGTCAACAATGAAGAAATTTCGGCTGAAGGCCTAGCCAACTTGCTCGAAACTTTGTCGCTGAGTTTCGAAGACGGGAAACGTCCAGATGTTGCAGATATTTTTATTGTAGTAGAAAAAGTCTTGCGTAAAACCTGTGTGACAAAGCGCTTGTTTCAGGTGGTGGCCGAGTTTCACTGGGACGTGCTTACAACCAAGTGTGTCACAATGTACAAAGAACTACTAAAAAACTGTAAGTCCGAAAAACAAGCTGAACAAAACAAACAAAAAGTGTTGGAAGAATTTCAAAAAAGCAGGAAAATGGGAAACAAACTGTTACAACGAGTAAAAGAAAACCAACTAATTAATGTAAGAAAAAGTTAACTAACGTCGACAAAATTTAATATGTATTGCAGGAACTCGAAGAACTGTTCCAGGAGTACCAAAACAACCAGTCTTTTTTGGGCAAGATGGCCACCGACGCACGAATTTACGTAATGGCTGCCGTAGTACTAATAACTAGCATTAATTATCGCAAGTGGACGAAAGTCCTTCTGAAGAACACTCTCAACATTAATAAGAAGTACTTCAAGAAGATGGTTGTCGACACGCTCTCACAAGTTATCGCCAATGTAATCGACTCCTTTGGCAAAACTGAAAAAAGGAAGAAAAAGTCGGTCCGAAAATCATCCGATGAAGATGAAGAAACGACCAAAAGTGACAAAAGAAAGAAGAAATCTTCGAAAAAAAAGTCTGACAGGGATGAAGAAAACACAGTTCTTCAAAATAAAGAGGAAAAAATTGGGGGACGTGGGGGATTGATGTATGTTTTATTTGCGTTGGTGGTGGCTTTGGTGGGAGTTATATTTGTAATGAGTTCGAATTCCACAGAACTAACTTTAGTGTACGCTCACCCATATTTGTTTTGTTTTATCGCACTTTGTGCTTTTGCTTGTATTTGTCTTTTTTGTTACACTGTACATCATTAGATTAGATATAGTGCTTGAAAGACGAAGAAAGTTCTCAATAAATTTTACTAAATTCTTAAAATTCCATGTTAAAAACCGCAAGTAATCTGGCGAGGTTGAATATTCGTTGGTTTAACAGGATAGCAGATGATTGAGGAGGTAGGAGAAGAAGTAGGATGACGACACTTTGACAAACTAGCGCCATCTACCAAACGCTGTTCGGGTTATATTTGCATTCAAAATGGCTGCACTGACCTTCTACCGCTCTTTCAACGTCTATGATCCTGTTCCGAGATCGAAGATCCAGGCTCGTCAGCTCTCATTTTCTCACGATAGATTATGATGTTGAGAGCCAAACTCAACAAAATTCATATGATCTCTCTTTCCTTCTCATATTTGTTTTGTAGCAGAAGTTGCACTAGAAAATCAACAAAATAAAAATTAAAAAAACGTATTAAATAAAGTAAAGAAGCTTCATTTTCTAATTTTTCTTTTCGACTATTTACTTTTGATGTTGTTTTAGGTCCCAAAGTCTCAAATTTCTTCAAGTAGACGACCTAATAAACTTTTTACGAATGCTTTCAAAAGCTTAAAAATAATAAAGCATGAAGAGATTAAAACAAGTGTAACTTCTTAAAAATTTGTTTATTTGAGTAATGTAGTACAACTGTCGTAAAAAGTAAATTTTGTTGTTAATAAATAAACAATATGTTGGTATTTGTAATTAGATATGCAACCCACACTGCAGTTGTGTAAGTAAGACAGCCTACTTCCACCAATATCTACGCAGTTACAAAATCGTTGTTTATTCGTTCAAGGCGACCCCAATCAACTAAAAATAACTCCCCCAAACCAAAACAAAACCCGCCACAACAACCCCCGCCTCTACAACCCCCATCCCTCGTCTTTCCCCACCAAAATTTCAAATTTCCCGCCGCCCCCTCTCCCAACCCTCTGTCATTCGTGACATTTCAACGTCGAGTACGTCAGTGACAGTGCTTTTGCAATAAATTAAATTAAGAACATTAAACCAACCGCGTTTGTTTGTACTCTAACCAACTAGCATGGCTTCAGGTAACTTTTCGTATAAATTCCACCACCCCGCTCCATCCCGCGTCCCCAAAAAGCCCACCCCGTCCCAGACCGCGTGCACGAATCCACCTTATTGTAAAATGAATCCGTTGCAATTTCAGCGAAAAAGGGCAAAAAGAACAAAGGGAAGACCCTGGCCCTGATCGACTTCCTCCAGGAGACCCCGGGGGCCGTGGCCACCATGCCCATAAGGAAGACCACGACCAACTGGGCCGACGAAGTGGAGGACAATCATGGTAGGTTTACTTAACCTAGAATTTGAGTGTGCATGTGGAGGTGCGGAGATCGATCTCGGGGATCTGGGGCAGGGGCGGGGGCGGCGCGATAAGGGCGCCGCGGGGGATCGAGATTGGCGTGCTATTAATATGTTTTCTAGAATGAGGACGTGCGCCAGAATTTGAGGCGCTTGTGGCGAAAATTTTCGGGAATTCGGGATTTGGGGTTCGAGGGGGCGATTTTTGCTGGAAAGTTTGTCGTAGCTTGTGTTTACGGCGTGAAGGCCGCCAGATGGCGTGGGGTGATATTGGGGTGATCTGATTGGCCGGAGGCTCATACGTCATCCAAGGCGACCATTTGTTGCTTTGTGATACTGTGGAAATTAATATAAAACATTTGATAAAAATTTATGTTTTTTACATTATTGATATGTTTATGAGGAAGAACTCGATTATGATGATCTTGTATTAATTTCGACTTCATAATATGTGTGACGCAGTGTTGCCAAATGCTCTAAACGAAATAACATGTTGAACATAATTCTAACCTCAAATTCACCATTTTAATTCACCACTTTGTATTGAATATCTGAAATCGATTGGACTTTCATTATCTAACTTTAAAATTGTTTAAGATGAATCTGACGAAAGTGGCTAAATTTTCAACTTTTTTATATATATTATCTATAAATCGATAATTTGTCTGTGTAAGTGAAGTCAAATTGATATTGCCATTTTTTTCTTAATGTATATAATTTTTTCCAATAATGGTGATTTTTTTTAATAGAAAAATAAAGATTTTGCAATTAAGCTGCGCCCCCCCGACCCATGACGAATAAAAAACTCGTCACAATTGAAATGAGGGTGGGTGGGCGGAGTTTATAATTTTTGTCATTAGTAAATTGATCGATAAATGTGTGGGCTAAAATTTAGTATTTGAAACATGTTTTCAGTTCTTATTGTCAAAAACACGCATGTTAAGAAAAAAAGGCAAAATATAAACCCCGCCCACCCGCCCTCATCTCATTTGTTATCATTTTTTCTTAATCGTCGTGTGCCGGGGGGCGGAGCTTAATTGCAAAATCTTTATCTTTTTTAGAAATTAACATGTGAAAGATGTTCTTAAGTAAATCGTGTTGTTCAACGAAAAAGCCAAATATAGGCCCCACCTACCCGCGCCCATTTCAATTGTGATGATGTTTTTATTAGTCGTAACTCCAGGGGCGGGGCTTAATTGCAAAATCTTGATTTTCCTACAAGAAATTATCATTTGAAACATACATTTAAGTATCGTGTTGTTATCATAACTGGGAGGAGTTACATAGTCCCGTTTTTCTGAAAATGAAGTAATTTCCAACAGTATGATAATACTTAAAACATGTTTTCGTAGTTCTTTTTACAGAAATATGAACTTTGCATTTAAGCTCCGCCCTCGGCGTGACAACGAATGAAAAATTCGTTACAAATGAGATTAGGGTGGGTGGGTGGGGCTTAATCTTTGCTCTGTTTTTTCCCTTAATAGGTGCAGGTTTAATTAAGAAAAAAGGAAAATACAAGCCCCCCACCCGCCCCCATTTCAGTTGTGATGTTTTTTTTTTCATTCGTCAAGAGCCCGGGGGCGGGGCTTAATTGCAAAATTCTAAATTTCCTACAAGAAGTTATCATTTGGAACATTTAAGTATCGTGTTGTTATCATAAGTGGGAGGAGTTACATAGTGGCCTTTTTCTTAAAATGTTACATTTTCCTAGAATATAATAAACTTGAAACATATTTTCGTAGTTCTTTGTACAGACATATGAACTTTGCATTTAAGCTCCGCCCTCGGCTTGACAATGAATGGAAAATTCATCACAAATGAGATTAGGGCGGGTGGGTGGGGCTTAATCTTCACTCTGTTTTTTTCCTTAATATATGCAGGTTTAATTAAGAAAAAAGGAAAATATAAGCCCCGATCCGCCCCCATTTCAGTTGTGATGTTTTTTTTTCATTTGTCAAGAGCCCGGGGGCGGGGCTTAATTGCAAAATTCTGAATTTCCTACAAGAAGTTATCATTTGGAACATTAAAGTATCGTGTTGTTATCATAAGTGGGAGGAGTTACATAGCAGCTTTTTTCTTAAAATGATACATTTTCCTACAATATAATAAACTTAAAACATGTTTTCGTAGTTCTTTGTACAGAAATATGAACTTTGCATTTAAGCTCCGCCCTCGGCTTGACAACGAATGAAAAATTCATCACAACTGAGATTCGGGCGGGTGGGTGGGGCTTAATCTTCGCTCTGTTTTTTTCCTTAATATATGCAGGTTTAATTAAGAAAAAAGGAAAATATAAGCCCCCACCCGCCCCCATTTCAATTGTGATGATTTTTTTTTTCATTCGCCATGAGCCCGGGGGCGGGGCTTAATTGCAAAATCCTGAATTTCCTACAAGAAACTATCATTTGAAACATTTAAGTATCGTGTTGTTATCATAAGTGGGAGGAGTTACATAGTGGCCTTTTTCTTAAAATGTTACATTTTCCTAGAATATAATAAACTTAAAACATATTTTCGTAGTTCTTTGTACAGAAATATGAACTTTGCATTTAAGCTCCGCCCTCGGCTTGACAACGAATGAAAAATTCATTACAAATGAGATTAGGGCGGGTGGGTGGGGCTTAATCTTTACTCTGTTTTTGTCCTTAATATATGCAGGTTTAATTAAGAAAAAAGGAAATTATAACCCCTCACCCGCCCCCATTTCAATTGTGATGATTTTTTTTCATTCGCCATGAGCCCGGGGGCGGGGCTTAATTCCAAAATCCTGAATTTCCTACAAGACACTATCATTTGAAACATTTAAGTATCGTGTTGTTATCATAAGTGGGAGGAGTTACATAGTAGCTTTTTTCTTAAAATGATACATTTTCCTACAATATAATAATACTTAAAACATGTTTTCGTAGTTCTATATACAGAAATATGAACTTTGCATTTAAGCTCCGCCCTCGGCTTGACAACGAATGAAAAATTCATTACAAATGAGATTAGGGCGGGTGGGTGGGGCTTAATCTTCGCTCTGTTTTTTTCCTTAATATATGCAGGTTTAATTAAGAAAAAGGAAAATATAAGCCCCCACCCGCCCCCATTTCAATTGTGATGTTTTTTTTTTCATTCGCCATGAGCCCGGGGGCGGGGCTTAATTGCAAAATCCTGAATTTCCTACAAGAAACTATCATTTGAAACATTTAAGTATCGTGTTGTTATCATAAGTGGGAGGAGTTACATAGTGGCCTTTTTCTTAAAATGTTACATTTTCCTAGAATATAATAAACTTAAAACATGTTTTCGTAGTTCTTTGTACAGAAATATGAACTTTGCATTTAAGCTCCGCCCTCGGCTTGACAACGAATGAAAAATTCATTACAAATGAGATTAGGGCGGGTGGGTGGGGCTTAATCTTCGCTCTGTTTTTTTCCTTAATATATGCAGGTTTAATTAAGAAAAAGGAAAATATAAGCCCCCACCCGCCCCCATTTCAATTGTCATGATTTTTTTTCATTCGCCATGAGCCCGGGGGCGGGGCTTAATTCCAAAATCCTGAATTTCCTACAAGAAACTATCATTTGAAACATTTAAGTATCGTGTTGTTATCATAAGTGGGAGGAGTTACATAGTAGTTTTTTTCTTAAAATGATACATTTTCCTACAATATAATAATACTTAAAACATATTTTCGTAGTTCTTTGTACAGAAATATGAACTTTGCATTTAAGCTCCGCCCTCGGCTTGACACCGAATGAAAAATTCATTACAAATGAGATTAGGGTTGGTGGGTGGGGCTTAATCTTTACTCTGTTTTTTTCCTTAAAATATGCAGGTTTAATTACGAAACAAAGTAAGATATAAACCCCACCCACCTACCCCTATCTCAGTTGTGATTTTTTATTCGCCGTGAACCAAATTGCAAAATCCTGATTTTCCTATAAGAAATTATCATTTAAACAAATGTTTATATATTGTGTTGTCAGTCGTTACTTTTTCTTAAAATAATGTATTTTCCAATAAAATGATAATACTTAAAATGTGTTGGTAATTCCTTGTACAGAAATATGGACTTTGCATTTAAGCTCCGCCCTCGGCTTGTCAACTTAATCAGCTTAATCTTTGTTCTGTTTTTTCCTTAACATTTGCCGGTTTAATTAAGAAAAAAAGCAAAATATAACAATATATAAATAAGGAAAATATTAAGCCCCACCCACCCACCCCTATATCAATTGCGATGAATTCGTTAGTGCAAGTTCCTATTTCTGTACAAAAGAATTACCAAAACATGTTTAAAATATTATTAAATAGAGTATTTTGGGAAAAGAGGGTTATTCAGCCTCCCCCTCCCCCCCCCCTCCCCAACTGTGTCTCTGTGATGAATCCTTCCATCTGTCATGGTCCAGGGGGCGGAGCTTAACAGCAAATGACAATTTAGTCCAATTTTGAAACATTTTAATTGGTTCAAAAAAAAAATTCTTGTGGTTACAGTTTCAGGCATGTACGGATAAACGTCATTTTTTTTCTTAGACATTTATGATCCTCGCTCCGCCAAGACCAGCGTCATCCTCCCCACAGCTCCGAAGGCGTCGCGGGACTTCGACGACATCATCGACAAAGTCCCCCAGGACCCCCCCTTCATCGCATATCTCACGAATTTGCCGTACGACGTCGATGAGAACGAGATTTCGTATTTTTTTAGGAACATGAAGGTGGGTATCCGTCGCACTGTCACCGAAATTCGAAACGTGTCTTTCTGCCGCAGATCGCCAACATGCGGATCCCCAAGGACGAGCGGCCCGGCGAGGTCCCGCGACTCAAGGGTTTCGGCTACGTAGAGTTCGAGGATAGGGATAGTTTACTAAACGCTTTGGTCATACCTGATACTGTAAGTGTGTCGGTGACGAAACGTCGCGGTTTGATAATTGGTGGTTTTGTTCGTAGACGATTAAGAACAGGCGGATACGAATCGAAGTGGCCACAGATTACGGTAATGAAAACAGGCGAGGGGGCCGGATGGACATGAACAGGGATCGGGGTAATCGGGGCGAGTTTTCGTCGTCCGGGGACTGGAGGTCGGGGCCGAGGCAGGAGAACACCGATATGGAGCGCCGGGGATTCAGCAGGGATAGGGATAGAGATAGGGAGAGAGACGGTGAGTCGGGTCGGTTTCAAGCGTTGTGGGTAAACTGCTCTGTGGTTGCAGATAGTTCAGGCGCTTGGCGCGACGGAGATAGGAGGAACAACCGGGACTCAGATAAGGGGTTCATCACTCGGTCGACGGACCGTTTCCGGGAAGAGCGCGACCAGGATTTCGGGAGATCCCGGGACGATAATAAGTTCGTGAGGCGGTTCGACGGGGGTAACAGGAATGGGGGGTTCACGCGGAACGCGCCGCCCCCTAGAGACGAGGAATCGAATAAGAGCGGGGAGCCGCGTCAGAGGCCGAAGTTGATGCTGACGCCGCGCACTAAGCCGGTGGAAGCCGAGCCCGAGAAGGTACAGTCGTCGACGTCGATCTTCGGCAACGCCAAGCCGGTGGACACCGCCGCCAGGGAGCGGCAGATCGAGGAGAGGTTGGCGAAGGACCATGACGGCGGGCCGCGGCGGGAGGTGAGCAGAGAGCGAAAGGAGAGGGAGGATAAGGAGAACGCGAATAAGGAGAAAGAAAAAGAGAAAGAGAAGAAGGAAAAAGTACAAGAACCTGGTTGGTATACCTTGTTTTGTTTTTTGTTTTTACTGAAGCTGGTGGTAGTTGCAGAGAAGAAACCCGAAGAGAAGGAAAAGGAGAAGGAGGAGGAGAAGACCCCCTCAGTGCAAAATCAAAAATCCGACTTCAACGGAGTCATAGGAGTCATAGACAAGGGCCACCCGAAGCGGAACGGTGGGTCCTGCAGGGGTATTAATCGAGTTCTAACGTGTTGTTGTTACAGGCGACCACGACAAGAAGGAGGTTAAAGATATCGGCGACAAACATAAATCAGAAGTCAAGAAAAGGGACGATAAGAAGTAGGTTTTGTTTTATGGGGTGCTGGGTGATTGATTCTTGTTTGTTGGTTGGCAGGGAGAAGGTGGAGAAGGAGATGCCCAAGTTGAAAAAAGTGGAGCCGCCGAATTTCGTCGCCAGTAATAAATTCGCCTATCTGCAGAACGAGGACAGCTCAGATTAATACGTTGATTTGTAAAAAGAAGCCCAAATAGTAAAATGTTTCATTATTACCCATGTTATTATTTTTTTAATCTTCAAATGTGGTGTCTGAAAGTTACATTTATACATATTATACAAATAATAAAGTATTTAAAAGGACAGGGCGTTTTTTGCAGGCGAGATCAAACACGTGTGGGGAGCTCGTCTGACGTTTTTGTATTTGTTTTTCGTGATTGTTTCTCCATTGTTCTATGATTATTATGTATGGTTCTTTTAACATTTTTTACTTATTAAATTGTATGTAATTCTTATTTTACGTTTGTTTTACATTACAACCGTTCTACCTGTTTTTTTAATCTCATCCTAAATTAGCCTGTTTATGACCCAGGTATATTTTGGAATTATTCGATTTGGATTCTGGAAAAACTGTAAGAATTATTGAAGAAATTGGCCCGAAAGTAGCTTCTGGGGTTCGAAAACTACAAAAACGTCTTTTGTTGAAGTTCAAAATTGGGCCGAACTTTTCAAAAAGGGGTAGCAATATTGTAAAGAAAATTTTAAGTCCTAAAAATTATATTTTAATTGACGATTCTGGAAAAACGGTAAGAGATATCGAAGAAATGGACCTAAAAATAGCGTCCGGGGGTCCAAATTTACAAGAAAATGTCGGGTTGAATTTAAACAATGATCAAAGATGGGCCAAAATTTTCATAAAGGGGTAGCAAATATAGATTTTGACGTGCTGATTTCAAAAATATAGCGTGGTTATGGCCCCTGTGTAAAATTTTAAAATTTTTTGAAAAATTCTGAAAATTGCCATTCTGGAAACACAATAAGAAAAAGAAATGGGCCCGAAAGTGGCTTCTGGAGGTCGAAATCTGCAAGAAAATGTCTGATTGAATTACGAAAATGGGGTTAAATTTTCATGGGGGGGGGATTTTTGAAAAATTTTGTTTTTAAAAAAGTTACCGAAAAATTCAGGGATTTTTGCAAGATTTTGAAATTATTTAAGTTGGAATCCATTTTTTTTTAATCCCAAACGTTGTCACATGTTTTTCAGTTGGCGATTCTGGAAAAGTCTTTGGCTGAACTTCGAAAATGGTGTGAAATTTTCATAAGGGTTGAGAATTTAAAAAAGTTCCGAAAAAATTCAAAGACGTAGATTTCGATACGCTCATTCCAAAAATTAAGCATGTCTAAGGCCCCCGTGCAAAATGTACCGATGTAAAATTTTGGAATTATTCAGTTTGAAGTTCAATTTTTTCTTAAAAAACCTAGAAATTGTCACATTTCAATTAGCGACTCTGAAAATATGGTAAGAGTTCTCGAAGAAATGGACTCGAAAGAAATGGCTTTGGTTAAATTTAAAAAATAATCTAAAATGAGCAAAAATTTTCATAAAATGGTATTCAGAAATTTTGCATTTCAAAAACTTGTTAAAAAATTTGGAAAAAATTCAAGGATATAGATCTGGACCCGCTGATTCCAAAAATTAAGTGCGATAGCGGTGCATGTTTTTGGAATTATTCAGCTTGAAATCCAGTTTTTTGGAAAATTCTAAAAATTATCATACTTTATTGACGCTTCTGGAAAAACGGTAGGAGTTATCTAAGACATGCCAACGAAAGTAGCTTCTGGAGGTACAAAAAAATGCCTATGGTTGAATTTCGAAAATGGTCAAAAATGGGCCGAAATTTTCATAATATTTGAGAAGTCTACTGAAAAATTCCGGAAAAATTCATGGATATAGATTTCGACGCTCTAATTTCAAAAATATAGCTTGTTTTTGGCCCGAAAATAGCTTCTGCCGGTCCAAATCTGCAAGAAAATGTCCTTGGTTGAATTTCGAAAATGGTCAAAAATGGACCAAAATTTTCATAAGGGTTGAGAAATTTTGCTTTTGAAAAAGTTGACGAAAAATTCCGAAAAAATGCAGGGATATAGATTCCGATGCACTCATTCCAAAAATTAAATGTGTTTAAAGCCCCGATTCAAAATTTTTGAATTATTCGGTTTGAAATCGCATTTTTTTTTTTTTAAATCCTGAAGATTGTCTTATTTTAATTAGCGACTCTGAAAACACGGGAGGAACTCTCAAAAAATGAGTCCGAAAATAGCTTCTACAGGTCCAAATCTGAAAGAAAATGTCTTTGGTTGAATTTCGAAAATGGACCAAAATGGGCTGAAAATTTCATATCGGCAATCAGAAATTTTATTTTTGAAAAAGTTACCGAAAAATTACCAAAAAATTCAAGGATATAGATTTCGACGCGGTGATTCCAAAAATATAGGATATTTGTGGCACTGGCACCGATGTAAAATTTTGGAATTATTCAGTTTGAAGTTCAATTTTTTCTTAAAAACTTAGAAATTGTCACATTTCAATTGGCGTTTATGGAAATATGGGAAGAGTTCTCGTAATTTCTCGTAAGTAATTTCTGGAGGTCGAAACTACAAGAGAATAGCTTTGGTTAAATTTAAAACCTAATCTAAAATGGGCCAAAATTTTCATAAAGTGGTATTCAGAAATTTTGTATTTCAAAAACTTGCTAAAAAATTTGGAAAAAATTAAGGGGTATAAATTTGGCCCGCTGATTCCAAAAATTAAGTGCGATAGCGGTGCATGTTTTTGGAATTATTCAGCTCGAAATTCAGTTTTTTGGAAAATCCTAAAAATTATCATATTTTCTGGAAAAACGGTAGGAGTTGTGTAAGACATGCCAACGAAAGTACCTTCTGGAGGTAGAATTCTACAAAAAAATGCCTATTGTTGAATTTCGAAAATGGTCAAATTTGGGCCGAAATTTTCATATGGGTTGAGATATTATGCTTTTGGAAAAGTTGCCGAAAAAATTCAGGGTTATAAACTTCGACCCACTCATTCCACAAATTAAGCGTTTCTAGTGCAAGATTTTGGAATCATTCGGTTTAAAATCCCATTTTTTTTAAGTCAAAAATGGCCCGAAATTTTCATAATATTTGAGAAGTCTACTGAAAAATTCCGGAAAAATTCATCGATATAGATTTCGACGCGCTAATTTCAAAAATATAGCTTGTTTTTGGCCCGAAAATAGCTTCTGCTGGTCCAAATCTGCAAGAAAATGTCCTTGGTTGAATTTCGAAAATGGTCAAAAATGGGCCGAATTTTTTACAAATTTTTTTTAGTATTGAGAAATTTTGCTTTTGAAAAAGATGTCTAAAATTATGAAAAAATTGAGCGATATATTTTTCGGCACGCTGATTCCAAGAATATAGCCGGTTTATGGCCTAGGTACAAGATTTTAGAATTATTCGGTCCGAAATCCAATTTTTTTGAAAAATCGTAAAATTGTCATATTTTCATGGCGATTCTGGAAAAATATGAGCAATTATGGAAAAAATGGTCCCAAAAGTAGCTTCTGGAAGTCGAATTTTCCTAAAAAATGTCTGGTTAATTTTCAAAAATCGTCAAAAATGGGCCGAAATTTTCATAATATTTGAAGTCTACTGAAAAATTTCGGAAAAAATCAGGGATATAAATTTCGAGGCGCTAATTGCAAAATATAGCGTGTTTTTGGCCCGAAAATAGCTTCTGCCGGTCCAAATCTGCAAGAAAATGTCCTTGGTTAAATTTCGAAAATGGTCAAAAATGGGCCGAAATTTTTACAAATTTTTTAGTACCTATTGAGAAATGTTGCTTTTGAAAAAGTTTTAGATTTGGACACGCTGATTCCAAAAATATAGCGGGTTTATGTCTCCGGTGCGAGATTTTAGAATTATACGATTCGAAATCCCATTTTTTTAACAATCCTAAAAATTGTCATATTTTCATGGCGATTCTGGAAAAGTCTGAGCAATTATCCAAGAAATGGACCCGAAAATAGCTTCTGAAGGTCAAAATGAACTAGAAAATGTCTTTGGTTGAATTTCGAAAATGGTCGAAAATGGGCCGAAATTTTCATAAAGGAGCAGTTTTTGAAAAATTAGCTGAAAAAATCCGAAAATATTCCGGGATATAAGTTTCGACGCGTTACTTTCAAAAATATAGCGTGTTTTTGGCCCCAGTGCAATATTTTGGAATTGTTCGTTTTGAAATCCATTTTTTTTTTAAATCCAAAAAAGTATCAAATTTCAGTTGGCAATTCTGGAAAAACGATAGGAGTTACCGAAGAAATGGACCCGAAAATAGCGTCCTGGGTCGTAATCTACAAGAAAATGTCTGTGTTTGAATTTCGAAAATCGTCAAAAATGGGCCGAAATTTGTACAAGAGCCAAATACTGTGAAATTTTGCTTTTAAAAAGTAACAAAAATTATGAAAAAATTCAGGGATATAGATTTCGACACGCTGATTCCAAAAATATAGCGGGTTAATGTCTCCGGTACGAAATTTTGGAATTATTCGGTTCGAAATCCAATTTTTTTGAACAATCCTAAAAATTGTCATATTTTCATGGCGATTCTGGAAAAGTATAAGCAATTATCCAAGAAATGGACCCGAAAATAGCTTCTGAAGGTCAAAGTGTACTAGAAAATGTCTTTGGTTGATTTTCGAAAATGGTCGAAAATGGGCCGAAATTTTCATAAAGGGACAGTTCTTGAAAAATTAGCTGAAAAAATCCGAAAATATTCCGGGATATAAATTTCGACGCGCTACTTTCAAAAATATAGCGTGTTTTTGGCCCCGGTGCAATATTTTGGAATTGTTCGGTTTGAAATCCTTTTTTTTTTAATCCTAAAAAGTATCAAAATTCAGTTGGCAATTCTGGAAAAACGATAGGAGTTACCGAAGAAATGGACCCGAAAATAGCGTCCTGGGGCGTAATCTACAAGAAAATGTCTGTGTTTGAATTTCGAATATCGTCAAAAATGGACCGAAATTTGTACAAGAGCCAAATACTGAGAAATTTTGCTTTTAAAAAAGTAACTAAAACTATGAAAAAATTCAGGGATACAGATTTCGACACGCTGATTCCAAAAATATAGCGGGTTTATGTCTCCGGTGCGAGATTTTAGAATTATACGGTTCGAAATCCCACTTTTTTGAACAATCCTAAAAATTGTCATATTTTCATGGCGATTCTGGAAAAGTCTGAGCAATTATCCAAGAAATGGACCCGAAAATTGCTTCTGAAGGTCAAAATGTACTAGAAAATGTCTTTGGTTGATTTTCGAAAATGGTCGAAAATGGGCCGAAATTTTCATAAAGGGGCAGTTTTTGAAAAATTAGCTGAAAAAATCCGAAAATATTCCGGGATATAAATTTCGACGCACTACTTTAAAAAATATAGCGTGTTTTTGGCTCCGGTGCAATATTTTGAAATTGTTCGGTTT